CCACCCCCCCCCCCCCCCCCCCAAACCAAAACAACAAAACCTTTGCAACTGTCCTAAGTGTGGAATACAGTGCATCTTGACAACTTCTCATTGGTTTCTTGCCTATACATTGAAAAATATTAGAAGTGTTGCTCCCACTGTACAAGGATGCACAGCATGTCTGTGCCATAGAAAGGATGCTCAAGTACAGGGGAAAGGGCTGGGAAAGCATCAGTTTTGAGGAGGGGACAAATCTACCGAAGGGTACAGGGTAACACTTGAATGTAGATGTGGACAGCTTAAGACAGTTGGATTTATGAGGAAGCATCTCTAGAAGCTCTTTAAAAGTATCTTAAAGTTTCTTATTATTATTTAAAACCCATCTAAGAAGATAGGAAGGGAACTTGTTCAGGTGCTTAGTGTTCTGGGTTTTTTTTCTTTGTTTTGCAATTTTGTTTTTTTGTTTGTTTGTTTTTGTTTTTGATTGTTCTACCCCTTGGTTTGGTAGTGGCACACATCACAACTCAGAACTTCAGCCAAGTGCCCTAAAGACAGGAGAGCAAGACTTGCATGATGTCTGTGTTACGTCAGTAGATTTACAAGATTTGCCTTTTTAAGGCATGGGTAGTACAAGTGTTAGCAAGAGTACAAATTATGTATTCCCCCCCCACCACCACTTACAGAACGTCTGCTGAAAGTGAGTTAGTGTTGGAGCTTCTGGAGCAACGTTGTAGAAATGGGTCTTCAGAGCTCCACTCACAAGCAGGTTGTATGCGAGATCTGTTATGTTAATGCCCACAATGGCAAAAGAATAGCTGTAAGAAAAAGCAGCAACGTTTGTTGACAGTTTGTCTTCTTTCAGCACACTATAATAAACACTGATGACACCGACACTGCAGATTGTGTGCTACTGAGATGTATTAATTCTCTCCCTCATAAGCTTCCAAGGTAGAGAGGTGGAAAATGAGAACGACATTTATCCTGCCTGCTTTGTACACTCTAATGGCAGTGTTTCCCTTGTGAAACATATGGTCACAGTTAAACCAGGAGTTTCATTACTGGGCCAACATTCAGTGGAGCAGCACAGATTCATTCCTGAGGAATATGAACAAGCCCAGGCATCCCTGTGCTTGCCTCTGACATGGGGTGAGCACTCCACACGGTAGCTGTGTCTGCAGGGTGACCCATCATTTGCTATTTTAACCTGTCTGCCCAGCTGGAATGCATTACACACAGCTAGGAACATCAGGTTTCGACAGTCAGTCCTATAAAGACATTCATATGGCTAAAAAGCCTGAGAAAACGATCATCTGAGTCATCTCCAATTTGTTCCTAACAAAAGAACTCAATATGCAGGCCAGAAAACAGGCAAAAACCTAAGAGCATGCTAGAAACAGAAATAAGAAAGTCAGACTCATGAAGGAAAACCCTGTCCTGCTAAGACATATCAACAAGGAAAGTATATTTAGACACAACAGAACTCAGAAATTGGAAGTTATTTAACTTGTGAGCCTGTTGCATAAAGAACGCACTTCTGGCAGTGACTATTTCCCAAGAAAACATATAAGTGTCCCACACTAACATTCAGTGATAAAAGCAAACTTGTTTAGTTATTCAGTGATTTTTTTGTTGTTGTGCTGTTGGTTTTTTTTCCCCTCTAAACACAGCTGTCTTCTGTAGACCATCCTGGGTATTTTTTCAGTTATCTCTATCAAGCAAAATACTTTTATTTCAGGAGGAAAAAATAATAAATGTAAGTCCAGAAATTAACCACAACATGAGGCTTGATGGCAAGTTTCACAGAAGAATTAAATACAGGCATTAAAATGTTGTATTACAAATTTTCAGATACACTTAGAAGGAACATCCAGTTCCATACTCAGAAGTAATGCAGCAATACCAAAGCTACTGCTTAAGAAGAAAAAAACCTCGCTGCCATTTCTTCCCTATTATACTCCACTGAAAGGAGATCAGAACCTAGCTCTGACAGTAAGAAGTGAGACTTGATCACATTATGTGTTAAGGATTAAATAGATATTCATTACTGCGCTATTCATAGCACACAGAGAAAGCTTCTCCTTGCTACAACATTTTTGGGTTATTTTTCATAATACTCACTTCAAAGTGCTTCTACTGTAATTTTTGATCAAAACCAAGGTGTGGTTAAGACAATACATATTAGTATGTACACTGAAGTTTCCTTTAAAAAGTAACCAGGAAATACCTTTTTCCCCTCCAATATACAGCATCATTGTTAACTATTGTGTTTGTGGCAACTTAAAAAAAAAAATTAAACTTACCCAATTGCCTTGTCAAACTTTTTCTTCTCCCATTCGGCTTTACTGAATTGGCTGAGGGGAAAAAGAGAGTTATAATCCAGATATTGCCATGCATTACTAACTGAGAAATATTTTCTATTTCTCCAATATTGTAACATTGACTGGACACAGTATTTTACCCCCATTCATATGGCTAGTCACATTTAACTCTGCTTTTGACTGAATGGATTGGTATAAAAGGACTTGAAATGGGTAACTGGCTTTATAGCATTGCTGATAAAATCGTCTCATCGTTACAAAGTATGAGCCTACGCTAGTGCTGTCAGTAAAATACAATTATTTTCTATATTGACCACAAAGATGATCCACTTCAATCAAGTCTAAGCGATATAAAAACTTTAAAATATTACATTTCTTTTAACTAATCCAAGGTGGTTTTAGCCTTTTGTGTTTTCAGACATATACATGACACTCATCACTGGAAGCATGATTCACCTGAGACAGCAAACATGAAATATACTCCTTTGATAGAATGTTTTTATGTCCAGCCAAATTAGAAGCCACTCAAGAGCCAAAAATAAACAACAATATTTCCTATTATTTGGCACAATAATGCAGAGCTTTTCAAGGACACAGAGAGCCCCTCCATTAAAACAAAATTAGTTAGGGAACAGATTGATTTTAGACTAAGTTTCAGCTGTTCAGTAAGTTTCATTTTAAAAAGCTGTGAGATGCAACCAGCCAGCTGACATCCCACTAACTGGGTTTTAATCTACTCAAATGGAGCAAGTTTAGCAGAAATTGTTGCCTGCATTCATCACCACCTAAAAGCAGGAACAGAACCAATCCTAACCAGTGGGCTACTTGGACATGCCTGTGGGGGTTTTGCCTTGGCAAGGCGGATCAGAGTTTGCAAGCTTTAGATCCCAAATTACAGACAGCCATGTGTGAAAGCATTGCTCTTGGACTATACTTGAACTACAGTAAGTATATCCTACACTAAAAACAATCCCTTGAACTTAATGTAAATACGGTATTTAAAAATTGTTGACATTATATTAAAGATGCTAATAGGTTCATGCCCATCCTGACCCGAGTGCTACCCGGTGGCACTCGTGAGGACAAAACTTCACCTCCCAAATGGCTTAGCATACAAGAATACATCAGTCTTCATTCATTCTCTAAAATCTTAAGCATCTTTGTAGGCCGTGGCATAACGTCAGTTACAAAACCCCAAGCAAACATTGAATAATAAAAGGTGGCACATGTAGGATGTGGACAAGTAATGCAGTTCAACAGAAATAGAAATTACATTGATCACGATCACATCAGAAACCAGCACGGCTGCTAAGCAACCACACCAGGAAGAACACCATGGGCACCACCAGCAGCATCTACTTTCTACACTGAATGCTCTTTCAAGGGATAGAAATCGTACGTGCTCACACAGCACTCCAAGACAGTCCTTGGTAATCAAACGTGTAAATGAAGAACACTAATGTGCTCCAAGTGCTTTTCATCACAAAATTGCCATTGGGAACTCAAACACAAAATACTGAGGAGATCAAAAGCTTCACAGGATTCAGATGTGGACCTGCTGTATGGATATCTAACATTACTGATAGAAGACAAATGTCTTTTAAGGCAACTGATTACTACATAATTGGCTAAGAGGCATCTCCCATCCCCCCCCGAAATTATAGAATAAGTCTCCTAGTCACAAATCATTCACAACACAAAATTTTTGCCACTTGAATCTACCTGATCTCTCAACAGTCAGGACAACAGACCAGCCAGATTATACCCTCGTTACTGAAGGCAGCCAGAATATGTGACTATAAACGGGCTTCCTAACAAGTCCTTGGCTACTTTTGATCATCAAGTCAGTCACAGCTGTTGTGACCATAGTGGCATGGCTGAGACTTGTTCCCTACAGGTAGAAGTCACCCAAAATTTGTTTGTTAAGCCTGGTACTAAATAGGTCTTAAATACAGTCCTTTAGCTACATCAAGTAAGGCTGATTTCATTCTTTATATATAAGCATGCTCAGATATACCCAGTGTTGCACCATCAGCTACACTCGAGTTAACTTTAGAGAAAGGAATACGGATCTCTTGATGTTGCAACAAAGGTTCTCAGTTTATAACATGGCAAACTGCAGTACGGTTTGATCTTTGTTTACATGTAGAGTCTCATAAAACTAAGAGAAAAGAAAAAAAATACCTTATTTCCTTCTTAGTGACTTCCCTTCATTATGAAAAGACAAAAGAATTGAAAGAAAGGTAAATAAAAATACAAAAAAATCACTTGAAATTAGAACTATAAGTGAAAACATTTAACACAGTGTAACTATTTCTAAGATTCAGTATATATCTGCCTCTTGGACTTGATTGGTTTTCAGGATCAGCACTTGAAAACAGATAGCATGTGGCAATACGCAAGCCTATGCCCAACAAAAAGAAAGAAAAAACCAGCACCACCACACACATCCCCCCGCCCCAGCACAGTACTCTATCGAGTTATTTTTTCTTGACTTGAGCATTACCTGTATTTAGGCTGAAGAGAATCAGAGAGAACTTGCTGAGCTACCTCAGTGTCCCATTCAGCAAAATACCTGCAGAGATGTATGTTTAGGGTGAATTGTTAAAGAAACACAACAAAATACACACGCTTTTAAAGGTCACTACATGCGTTATGCAGTATGAGTAGCCTTTAATGTGTTAAATTTATTAAGCTACCAGACACCCAAAATGAAAGAGAAAAGCAGCCTCAAATTACAAGTGCAATCCTATAGGTGGTTAGTAAACGTGCATTACCAGAGTCCCCTTTCTACCCACCCTACAGAAAGTCAGTTGCTTATTACTAGAGCGTGTTGGCTGCTGGGCTCAAGAGAAAGCAGTTCAGGCTTCTTGATCTGGCAGATTCATTAAGCAAGGTAACAGTCATCACAGGAGACTTAAGAAATTAAATACGTGGTAGGGATTCATCTCCACTGGAAGTTCAAAGCCAGAGTCAAGAGACTAGATCCTCAACTGAGCTTTGCTAGAAAACAACATATGGACCGCGGATGATTTACGTCCTTCAATCTGTAAAAGAAAATACTTCTTTTTCCCCTCATAGGCAGAGGTTATTTTACCAAACATTTCTAAATTATGTAACTACCTGCAGTAGATACAAGGGTTGGAGGAAATAAGAGGCATTGATCAATTCCTGAATTACCAACCACAGATATGGTACCGACACCTGGTGTGCGTGAGGCGGAAGGGAGGAGCCATGTAAACTCACTGCTTCATTTTGAGTATCAACAGACATTAAAGTAGTCCAACTATGGACGTCTGTCATCAGTGGCTGCATTTCAAGTGTTTTGCTTAAGATTTCTGCATGAAATTCCCAAACAAGAAATCTGAGCAGTAACATAACCCTCCCACTTACCCACTTCCAGGGCATTTTGTTTAAGGAGGTCTATATATTTGTTAAAAAGTATTTTACAGTTTCTTTCTTGTGGGAAGAGTGCTAACTTACTGTGTCACAGAGAAACAAAAAAAAAAAAGGGCTTAGCAAGCAGTGTTACTGACTTGAATTAGGAATACTGAAAGAAAGAAAGAAGATGCCTTGAGAAGAGAAACCCTCCAAAAATTGGGAGAGCAAGTAAATTCTTTCATTTTTATATGAAGTTCCTAACACTCTTCTAAGTTATTCCCACAGACTTGCTAAAGATCTGCAAGTGATGCTGCTTTTCATGACTTCAGACGTACATAAACCCATCTACAGAGGAAGATACTTACACCAAGTTATATAAGCCCAGGAGACCCATCCCTCTAAAGTCAGTTTTAGGATCGTCACCTTGGAAACCAATTTCACACCACTGCTTCGAAATCCGAGCTTTCAGTGGCGAGCTGGGCTTCAAGCACTTCCACAACTAGGAAGATTACAGGTAAACATAATTAATCTTCCACATGTTAGTATGGATTTTTCTTCTCTTCAAACCAAGCTAAGTATCATGTAGTATCACCGCGTTGCTGTCCCAGCAACCCAAACATAAATTCAAATTAAGTTTCTTGGGGTGACAAGGGTGGGAGGGAAATCCCAAACCACCCTCAAGTATCACAGACGTTTCAGCCCTACAAGGCCCTTCCAACCATACAGCAGCTGCTGTAACGTCTCACACAAGGACTTGTTTTGTTCATGCTTTGTGCGGCAAACTAGCGTCTGCCTCCATAAGCACAGAGACAGGAATGGGCTGGAATTTGGTTGTAAATCACTGACAGAGCAGCAGGCAATCAGCCTCAGGTCCCTGAGGCTCTGCAGCAATCTTTTCTCCGGCATCCTTTGCAAGTCTCTGGAAGGGTTATAAATCAGGAGTGCTGGACTTGGCTACTACAGTGCTGAAGAACAAATTGGAGAAAATTAAAAAAAAAAAAAAAAATCCATACAAGAATAGCATGTGCCACCTTCATATTTAACTAAAGGGTAAATCATTCATTGATCTCACATTTGGGGGCGGGGGGGGAGGACAAAGTGGTTTCACAAGCCAGATCCTCAGCCAGAATAAATCTACTTCACTGCACCAGTCCAGCAACTTCAGTGCCTAAATATCATGTTTAGCTTTAGCTGGACACCTCACCTAAGAGAAGCCTAAACAGATATGTCTGGCAAATACATACCTTTCTGCACACCTCATGTGTCATAATACACTTTGCAAAATACGAGTTTGTTATAAGAAATCAGATGTTCTCCATAAGCCATGAGTTGGTGAGTAGGGCCTCAAGAAATGCAGTTAGACAAAGCCTATCCAAGGGAAAGATCTGTATGCACATTTTCCAAATAACCCCCCCCAGAAATGGTATTAATTTTAGCAATTCTAACTGCATTTAAAATGAAATGCCTTAGGAAGCTTAAAACTTCAATGCTTTCACTTTGTAATGACTGCATAAAGCATCATTGTTTAAATCATATTTGCTATCTTTCTTGTTCATCCATTGAGAGTAAATACAGTATTATTCATTAGTTCAATCACATTAAGTTAATCTTTCTCTTATTCATAAAGTGCCCTCCTGGTAAACATGAATAAATGATAGACATTAGGAGCTTGAATTACCCATTGCAGAGATTACTTAGCGGAATACCTGGAAGGAATGAAAAGCAACTGGCCTATTCTTCCCCAGCATGGGCTGGAAACAGAATTAAACCCTTGGCCATACTTGCATTTGACATGAGAATTCGCAAAAGCAAAATGCCTGCTGTAAACAAGCGCTCATACACAGGTTACACTGGAGGCAGATGGTGAAACTGATATTTTCTTCAACACTGCGAGTTTTACAGTACAAACTGCACCGTTTAATCTCCCCTCAGACAAATGCCGTTATGTTTTTAAAGCACTTGCGTGACTACACATTGTTGCTGACATGATTCTCAGGAGCATCTAAGAACCAGGACCTGGCCCTTACAGGCTGGGTGACCAGGAAGGGAGACCACAGCCAGCTCCTCAGTGCTCCTCACCTGTGAAAAGCTCACGATGAAAGCTCGAGTTTTGCCATTGGGATACACAGACAAGCTCTATCAAAAATCCAAGAAATTTAGAAAAAAAAAAATAGTTTTTCTGGTTAGGAGAGAAAAATACCCTTCTCACCTTGAAGAAAGGTGCACAGAAGTAGGATATACATCTATTTTTTCCAGAGCTCACAGTACAGAGCTGTTAACTGCAGTAAGAGCTGGGTATCCAGTGCCTAGACATAGTCCAGCCAAGGGACATGCATTCATCAATCAGGGAATGAGCTGCTTGCTTGGCAGGTGATACACCCAGACTAGATTAATATGCTGTATAGCCTCATCTTAAAACAGGTACAGGATAGAGGAAGGCAACAACGCCTCTCTTTAAAATCAAGCCATTTGGAGCTGGCATGAAAAAAGGATGCCCTCTAAGTACCTCTTAAGCACCTACCTTGAGAAGCATTTCCTCATGTTGCGGATTCTCCGAATCATACTGTTCTCTGCGCAGCTTTTCAACCTCTGCAATCAGGTTTCTGTACCCCACAATCTGCAGTAGGCACGCCTGAAGAGATACTCCCAACCTGATGGGGGGGATAAGGAGCAATGTAATCCAACTGTCATATGTTAACCATGAAACAGCACTACCGTGTACATACTTGTTTAATTCATATGAGTAATGTTATGTCAATGAATTGATAGTCTAACACTTTAATTACAATGGGAGAATTTCCAAGAGATCGGTATTACATAAAACAAGGCCTTGTGAAATGCATAGTCTTATTTAGTGCATTCCTGAGATATAAAACTTGGGATTTTTAAAAAATTTTTGAACTGTGAATTTTCACACACTGAAATCTCATTGTAACTATACACAGCTGTGTTGAACACTTGCTGCAAGCACATCACTGAATCTCTCCTCTCATGCAAATGGCAGCTTCTCAAACAATGCCCTGACACCAGAGATGTGAACTTAAAAAGGGGTGGGTGGGGAACTCAGTAAAAAGCGAAAAATATTCATTTTGCTTCCACGCCACAAAAGCTCACATAAAGCAGCCAAAACCCTGAAGTACTGTAGTTCAAAGATCTGCCTCTAGAGAGTCTTTTTTCCCAGTCTCCTGTTAAGAATCACCATAATGGCTCTCCATTATAATGCAGATTTTACATTTCCTTTTTATGTTTCCTGATGCATCACTAAAAAAATCCAAAACAAAATACACCCCCCAAAGCAAAACAAAAAAAATCAAACCAAACATGTGGCTTCCAAGGCTTTAAGTTGCAGAGACTTACTTAGTTTTAGGTTCAGATTTTGTAATCATAGAGTCTTTGGGTTGGAAGGGACCTTCAAAGGTCATCTAGTCCAACCCCCCTGTAATGAGCTGGGACATCTTTAACTACAGCAGGTAGCTCAGAGCCCCGTCCAACCTGACCTGGAATGTTCCCAGGGGTGAGGCATCTACCACCTCTCTGGGCAACCCCTGCTAGTGTTTCACCACCCTCATTGTCAAAAATATTAAATACAAGTCATGTAGTACACAACTGCCATGCTCATAAGAATATTTGATTATGTATGGGACTAAACTCTTTAATTTTTAATAATGTTTGAAATTATCTGAACACGTACTGCGAATTCAGAAGGCACAGTTAGATGCGTACCCTCATTCCTCTGTGGAACACAGACTGCGCTAATATGAAGCTGCACAGGTTCCTCATCTGTCTTGTTTGATATACAGAAACAGTTTGTTTATGCTGTAATACTGTTAAATTTTCTGAGCAGAAGGATTTTCACCGCTTATCTTTTGAGATTAATCTACAGAATCAGAGATGTCATCTTAGGTCATTTCTCTCGCTGCAATTTCATGCTATTTGTGGCTATAACCCTTTTGGAATAACCTGTGCAGTGTTTTCCCTCCTTTGCTGTTTTTTTTTGGGTGTGTGGTTTTTTTTTTTTCCCCTCTCTCTCTCTAAACATGCTTCTCTTGCTATAACCTACAGTTTTACAGAAAGGTTGCATTTCAAAGAAAGCTGAAAAGCCTGACGAGACTGCACGTGAATTGCTGTAGTGCATCAGTAAGCCACAGCCATAATGTTTTTAACTACTCTCTAACCTCAGAATAGTTTACAGCAGAAGACCACAGGCAGTGGCAAAGCACAGCAATCATGTATTAAGAGAATACATATTTTTAAGAGAATATCTATTAAGAGAATAGATATATTTTTAAGTTCTGAGTTGCACAACATCTACAAAGCAAGCCATGTTTGCACTTTTTCTAAAGCCAGTCAGATGCCCCAGCAGCACTCAGCAGAGGACACGGGTGAGCTGCTGATGCCCCACGTCTCCTCCCTGCGCTGGCGGTTCTCAGAGCACAGGAACAACCTGCCCGGGCTTGCACCCCCACCCCACTCAGCCCCAGGTGCTCCACGAGATGGAGGCGAGCCCAAAACTGGGAGTATTTCACAGCCTGCTGCCACAGTTAGCGCAGACTGCCCGTGTCACCGCCTGGTCATTCCAGCTGCTTGCTCCCACCACGAGACATACGGCTTGTTATCCCGGCGGCGCCGATGAAGGGCCCCCTCTCTCCAGGTCACGGCAGCCCACAGCATCCAAGAACAGCTCAGTGCAAACACCCCAGGGATGCTCGTTCAGCTCTGCAAAGATGCTACGGTAACAAAACTAACTGCCTACAGATTTGCAGAAACACATATAGCATGACACATGGCCCCTTGTCCTTACCCCAGGAGATTTCACATCTCTACTATGCAAGGAAAGGCCAGAAGAAAGGGTCAGAGCTGCTGAACAAGACAGTTTGGACGCAGGTTTTTTTATGTTCAAGAGTAGGCAAGCCAATACATTTTCCTTAATCCTGTCTAAAGAAATAGCTGACCTGCTTTTGCTGAAGCTTCTCCAGAAAAATTTAGTATAAAATAAACAGCTCACATGTAAAACTTCAGTGCAGATGCTTAAAGTTTAGCAGAACTATGATTAATTTAATATGAGTTATTTAGTGGCAGAGTGCATATCTATGTATGAGGTACCACCTCGCATGTCCCAGGCCCTTATTTCTCACTGTTTTAAAGAGATATTTCACCAAACTGGGGGTGTGGTATGTGAAAGACCAAGTCCTATAAAATGTTGAGTGCATGGGTTCCAGTCCAAAAAAATTAATCCCTTGTTCTGTGCTAAGCATATGACTACCACCTGGATTAAAGAAAAAATAGTTAAGGTTGTTGGGTTTTTTTAGTTGGTTTTTTTTTGGGCTGGGGGGTTGGTGGTTTGTTTTTGGTTTTTTGGTTTTTTTGTTTTTTTTTTTTTTTTTAATATTAGGAACAGATCACTCAAAACGTAACAAGTTTTGGGGGTCTGGTTCAAGCAAGCAGAAGTCATTTGCACCTCTGTGCTTGCTCTCTTCGGGAAGACAGCATTTCTTCAGAGGCCAAAGGCAATGCCATAAGGAGAATCAGACTGATCTCCAGTGTCATACAAAATACTATTTTAATGAATTCCTTGTTTTTTCTTGGAATTATTCCACCCAGTTACTCAAGGGTCCAACATGGAAAAGGGAGTACTCGAATCAGCCTGACTGCTAACACTGCAGTTACTGATGTCCACAGGCCAGGCTCCGAGCTGAGCACATTTACATCCTGCAGTTTTTCCTCATATGTCACCGTCACTAATTTTGCCATCACTGATTTTTTTCTGAATTTCAGATATCAGCATCCTGTGCAAGACAGGAGTACCAGAGCTGTGACACCCTCCTCAGATGGGCAGCCTCTCAGCATGGCGTCGCATCCACTTGAAGCGGCTGCTTTTTCATCACCCTCCCTTTGAAAGTCATGTGGGCAAGGTTCTGTGAAGTGACATCCCTGGAAACACTCTGGGCCCACTCCCAGAAAAACTTCACAGGGCCCTCACTTATGAGAATGAGGTGTTTTCTTTATCTTGTTTCTCTTACTTTCTTCCCTTCTTTAATGGTTGAGTGGCCACTTTTTTCAATCCAGGTGGACAGCACCCATAGAATCTTTGAGCTGGAAGGGACCTTTAGAAGGTCATCTACACCAACCCCCCTGCAATGAGCAGGGACATCTTCAGCTACATCAGGATGCTCAGAGCCCCGTCCAACCTGACCTTGAATGTTTCCAGCAATGGGGCATCTACCACCTCTCTGGGCAATCTGTGCCAGGGTTTCACCACCCTCAGTGTCAAAAACTTCTTCCTTAGATCTAGTCTACACCTGCCCTCTTTTAGTTTAAAACCATTACCACTTGTCCTATCACAACAGGCCCTGACAAAAAGTCTGTCCCCATCTTTCTTGGGAGCCCCCTTGAAGTGCTGGAAGGCTGCAAGGAGGTCTCCCTGGAGCCTTCTCTTCTCCAGGCTGAACAATCCCTACTCTCTCAGCCTGTCCTCACAGGAGAGGTGTTCCATCCCTCTGATCATTTTTGTGGCCCTCCTCTGGACCCGCTCCAACAGGTCCATTTCTTTCCTGGCATGTCCACAACAGTTGTCTCTCAAGTTAGAGAGACATCCAGTGTGCTCTATTTCCTTTATCATCAGTGAGGCCTCATTTTAAGACTACCCAGTTACTGTCCATTTCACTGGGGTGTAGGGCTGGGGGGGTCATTCCTGTAATGAGACGGAAAAAAAAAATTATATTTTTTCCCACTGAGCTTTTGGGTTTTGTTGTTGCAGCAAGACCTTGGGACCACCTTACCTTTTGATGCTGCTGACCACTTAAAGAAAAGCAGCTATCAGTTTATGGATGCCCATTTTGGATTACGTATATCAATTTCAAGTTTGGAAGAGGAGTGAACCTCAGACTGATCACCTGACTAATACAAGCTTCAACATTTCTGCCACTGATTCCTGACCTAGACCGTCTTGTGCCTTAAGCTAGGGGCTGAGAGGTAAGGCAACCACAAAAGTGTTATCGCTTACTCTTGAAATATATGCTTGTAAATTTAATGGTTTGTTGTCAATCTCTTCTTACCATTAAGATCTTGTACTATTAAAAGAATGTCAGCTATGTTGTATCATTAAAACTTGTGTTTGGATAGTTAAAGGCAATTTTAAAATATAAATCAGTTGTGGTTGGTGTATACCGTTTACATCAGTTACAACAGGATGATTTCTTCCCTACTTAAAAGGGCAAGTCTTGCTAAGAAGCCATCACTGTCACTGCCAGGACCACCTGCCTTGGTCGTATTTTATCCCTGGGGAATTGGCCCCCATAAATAAATGCATCAACAATATACTAAGACAGCATGATTCAGGAAGCAGCTAGATAAAGAGACTCAGGACTTGCCTATTACAGTCACCATATAAGATCATTCATTTTTCCATCAGCTTTTTGACAGCAAAGCTTAAGTTGGAGTTTTATGCTGAGAGACAGAATTCAGCTTCAAATTGTGTGCCATGATCACTATGGAGAACCAGTTCTCCATGTTTCTAGGCACTGAAGAAATCAATAATTCCCATTTGTTTTGTAAGGAAGCCATGGACTTACTGTGGATTTACATCTGAATTAATCCTTTTCAGCTCCATGATGTCATCTATAGTTTTTTCAATAGCATCAGGGTGAACACTTACTGAAGTTTGCAGCCGCTAAAAAGAGGTTTTAAACACATATTAATTCTTATGGAAACTATTAAGTTAACAGTAGTAAATTTGATACCCAAAAATCTAGATTAAGAGCCCAGAAGACCCAACTCAATATGTATACACACCCTTGCAGTCTGTTCAACCCTACTGACTAGTTTCAGAGCACCAGCTTAGTTGCTGGCTGGGTTAAACCACAACAGAACTCGAGTCACTTCACCGCGCTCTTGTAGTCAATCACATTTCTGTGGTGGCTGCCAGTGAAGATGATCTGCACTAAGGCCTTTGATCAGGAAGCAGCTTCAGATCATCCATCTAATTACACTGGAATTGCTAGCCTTCATTTGACACCCCCTCTCCCAAACATGTTGCAGTAACACAGCAAAACATTTTTCCTTTCTCTTACATGTCATTGCACTTTGTAGAGATGCCCCTGGAAGTTCAGTATTCAAAAAAATCAACATGGCTTCCAAAAATTAAGAGGTTGAACTTTCTGGTGCTTGTCTCAAAACTATACGATGCTTAAATACAGACCTTTTAAATAAGAGTCTGCCTTTCTGTTTGTGCTAGAAGTATATTTGGAAGCACCATGGTGAACTATGAGCTATATGACATAGTTTTTGCTGATGTTGAGGTAAGGGTTTCAACATCACCGATTCTCATGCCAAAGAGAAATGAATGGCTGAATGATGCTATTTAACATGTACACAAATGTTTTGTGAGAAGAATTTAGGTTAGCACAACCAGTGCTACAGTGAAAGGATAAGGTGACAGAGGCTCCTCTCCATTAACGTATTTAAAAAGAAAGCAGAGAACAAAGTTGTCTTGGCTATGCAGGTACTGCTGCCTTCAGCCTCTTTTATACCTGTTTCCAGGCAAAACAACTGTGGTGTAAAGTGTGTAAACGACTGAGTGTATGTTACAGAAATTCTAAGACAGGATGAGGAATCAAGCCAAGAACTCCTAAATTACAACACATCACCGTCATCATCTCCACCATGACCTGTTGCTCCCTTGATTCCATCAGTCCCATGGCCTACCTGTCCCTGGAGCACAAGACACTCTCCCTGACTTTGCAAGATCACCTGCTATTGCAGACACAGGACCCTCTTCAGTAGAAGATGGTTTTAATGTAAAATCATAATCAAACCTTAAAGTGATTTTTTTGTGGTGAGCAAACAGCAGACTGAGCAAACCAAGTGCGCAGGATGCAACAAAAAAGGTGAATGATGAGATCTTGCACTCACCTTACTTTTTGAACCTTTCAGTGATGCCTCTGTAAGAGAACAGTATTTGAAAGCATCATGTCAGACAAGCTAAGTTTATATTGGATTGATTTAACTATTTATTTATTTCTAAGAATGAGGTCATACTATTTTTAGCACATGCAGAAAGGTACAAAGGCATGCAGAATGAAGGATTTTGCAGTTACCTATTTTCATAGTCCTGGCAGCTCCAGGCTTGGTATTGTAACAGATCCTTTGTAATTCACATCGACCTGTTAGTTTCCTGACCACGAATTTCAGGCAGCGCCACAAGCATTTGCAGTAGAAGTACAGGCATACCTGGACAAACATCCTG